GGAAGCCCAGAATGTTTTCTGTGTGGCCCTTTGCAGGAGCAGGGTACCCTGTTCTGAATTGTTTTCTTTTTGGGGTGGAGTAGGGAGGTGTACTATGTGTTTCTCAAAACAGCGACATTTACTTTCTCTTAGCAGCTTACCTAAGATGTATGGGAAATGTTGCAGTTTGTTCTCAGCGGTCATCTCCGGCTCTGGTCGGCAGCTGGGGCCTTATTCATTCAGTTTCCACGTACTGAGGGCCTGTTGTGGGATAAGCAGTAGACGTTTCATTACGTTTTGAAAAGATTCTTGTTTTCAGGAGCTCACGGACTGAAGGTATGGAGGGCACCTCTCTGTTCACAGCCTGAATTTCTTTCTGTCTTAGGTGCAGATGCATTAGGCAGAAAGATCTGAAGAGCTTGATGGCTGCTAAAATAGCCTTGCTGCCCCTGCCAGCAGAGCCTGACGAAGCACACTCCCTTTTCTGTGTCTTCAGTAGGATTTGATTACATAGTACGGGCTACGGTATAACTTCGAAACTTATGTAAAGTGTTTTGCGTACTTGTGAAACACTCAGCATTCCTTTAAAAGAAAAAAAAAAACAGATTGGTTTAGAGTCTGCGGTGTTTCTTGATTTCCACGCCTTACGTCTCCTCGTTCCTTTGTTAGTGTTGCCTTGTCAGACTTAGGATGCTTCTTCGATGCGCAAAGATCCTGGTAGTTCCAGACCGTGCCTCTTAAAACTACCACCATAATGCTTGTTCTGTGGATTGTGGTAGGGTGTTTTTAGATAATAATTTCTTTAAAACATTGTGGACGTACGTCCCCTGCCATAGCACTCTCAGGAACAGACAGCTCAGAACTTACGGGAGCCACGTGAATACGGGTAACACAGACACAGCGTTAACAGGGTCATGCGGCGTGTGGAGTGCGGAGCTGGCACCGCCTCCTCCTGCGGCTGCCACATTCCCACTCTCATGAATGTCTTCGTTGCCTGCTCGTGGAGCAGGAAGTGGGAGGACTTTCCCCAGGAGCCCAGGCTGTTTTCCGATGCTCGCTCCAGCTCTGTGGGGCGCTGTATAGGGTGTGTCTGCTGTTCCTTCCTGCAGCAGAGAGCCGGCCAGAGGCTGCTAACCGCTTTGGGCTGTGTGTCTGTGGGCCTTGCTTACAGAACCCCTCCAGCCTCTTGGTGGAATTGAACTAGGTCAGAGTTACGAGTTATTTCCCGTGCGGGCCCCTCTTCCCCCGAGCTGTGGGCCAGCCTGCTCCCCTTTCTTTCATTTTATAGCTGGAGAGGTGCCTCTGATCTCCCATCCTAACCTGTCAGCTGAAGCTCTCCCCTCTCGAGTTTGTGTTTCTGTATTATCTTGCTGGGGAATGACAAGTGTTAGATTTGCGGGATTGTGGACACTGGTGACTTTCGCTGGAACCTAGTGACAGCCTGCAGGAACACCTTTATTTTATTCGAGTTGCTTTTCTGTGGGACACAGCATTAGGCTTGGCGTCTGGCCTTCAGATTCTGCCAGCTCTCTGTGCGTCATGCTAGCCGGCCAGCCTCCTTCGGTATCTCTGATCGGCCTTGGAAGCTGTGGGAGACTTTGCTCTAAGGATTTGGTTGGAATGAGTTCACGTGTCCCCTGAGGCTGTGAGGAGATGTGAGTTGTTTGACTTAATCCATTAGCTCTCCGTGAAATCTCAGAAAACAGGGCCGGGGCAAAGGTTACG